CCCCCCCACACACACACATACACTTTCCACCATAATGTTAGCAGCATTGTTTATTTAGATCTTGAAATTGTGGAAATTTTGTGCAAAATCATCGAATTTTTATCATTCATTCTTCTTTATTGTGTAACTAACAAAAAATATAGTTTTACAGCATTTGAAGGAGTATTTTAGCGTACTTTTAATTTGAAAAGAATAAGTATTTAAAAAGTTAGTTGTAACTCAGTTCAAGAAATTATAATCCAAACTTTGTATTGCTAATAATACATAATTTTCTTCCCCCATAAAACGGTTTTTTTTCTTTAAATCCGGCTGAATTTTTATAAGTTAAGATCCAATTGGTCTGAAATTCCGTCAATAAGATGCTAAAATTAGTCCATTTGTGTAACTTATAATATCTTGCTTTTTTTAGGTCAAAATACTCGCAGACAACAAGGGACATAATTCTCCTGAAAACTCAAAAAAGTCGAGTACCATCCATCCTTCTCTCAAACTAGGTACTGTCGGAATAAAAGTCTTTTTTTTAAGAGAAATGAGATAAAATCACGCAAGTTAAACTTTTTCAGGCAATCTTCAGGCTGTCNAAAAGGTATTATCTTATATCTTAAAAAGGTATTATATTACATCTTGAAAAGGTATTATCTTATATCTTAAAAAGTGCTCAACAGAGATTTCTGATCAAATCTTGTATTAGTTTACCAAAGATGCCAGAATTTACCGAACTAAAATGCAAATATAAATAAATATTCCTGGGAATTCTAAAGTTTGAATAAAAAATTCAAAATAAACATTTAAATATTGTAAAAGAGCTTTCACTCAAATCTTAGTTATTTTGGCGGATAGCAATAAGACGAGGATTTAGATAACGACTAACTATATTTTTAATATAAAGTTACAAAGTAGAAAACATATATATATCACGTGGCTTCTAGAAACTCCCCTATTCTTCTCCCTGCCGCGAAAGGTTCTTCCTAGGAAAGACGACTTTCATAGCCGCCACATTATTCAAAGAATGCAAAAACTTTTTTTAAAATTTGAAATTGAAAAAACAATATTTTTGACTTTTGATTGACCTGATAATTCTTAGATGTTTGGAAGGAAAATTTTAACATGTTAAAGGGGACTGATAAATGGATTTGAAGTGACTCTCCACTTACAAAGTGGCATTTTCGATTCACAACGGATGAAGGAGATAACCTTAATTTTCCATCTGAAAGTGGATTATATTCAATTGTTATTTATCTAAAGCAGGGTCTTGCTGCATTTTTGTAGCAGAGAAAATTAAGGAAAATTTCCCTTTTCCAGGGACAAAACGACAATTTGATCTTGAATGTTACTCCGACCAAGGTTTAAAGGGTACCGTTGTGAATAGAGTGTCAGTTAAACTTTATAAAAAAATTTAGAAATTGAGAACGTTAAATTTAAAAAAAGGAAAAAATTTAACTTTCAAAATATTTAAGAATTCAATCACTTACTCTTAGCATTATTTCACAATTTTCACAGTTATTAAATCCAATGAAATAAGAAAAGGTTAGAGAAACAAATTAATGATAGCTTATCAACTTACAAATAGATTAGAAGAATTTTTATTATCAACGAAATGAAATTAAGCTGGGGATTAGGTTGGGAAGGGAAGGGGTACACTGGACAGCCCCCCCCCCTCTATCTATGTCTTTGTTAATTTCAGTTATTATGAACGAACAATTTCTGATAGTATTTATAGATAATGAATTACTTAGAAGTAATATTGTAATGATTAGTGTTAATGTGGCATATTTTTGATTTTGTAGAACTATATATTTAAATATTCTTAAAACTTGACCTATTGTTTACGAATTTGCATCTTAGTGTTGACCGGCTCTGAATTTGCTTCTATATTTTATTCAGATATTTTCACAGAAAATTTATCTTTACTAAAAGGCATATTTTAATTCTGCTTAAATTTATGCGATCGACAAAAGAATATTTTGTTTGAAATATGTACAAAAGAAATTAAAAAATGTAATTAAAATTTCCATGTTTTTCTATCTGAAACACTTATGCAAAACTTATTTGGTCAATTGTAGTTTCTCTGTGTATTTGATTTTGTATGTATGCATCAGAGACAACTAGAAAAATTGACAGAATTCAATCCTTAACAAGAAAAAAATCTTTAATATTAATTCTGAAAAAAATGATGAAGGTTTCGAAATGAGGCATGTAACTCTTTTTGGATTTGGACAAAAAAATTTTTAAAAAGTGATAGGACAGGAACATAAAAGGAAGTGTTAGGACAGGAACATGAAGAAGAAAGTGGATAAAAAAGAGAGGGGATCCAAAGAGTGATTAAGAGATAGGTGATCAAAAGATAAAATGGATTTAAACAAATAGATTCTAGTACAATAGATGACAACAAAGAATACAGTTATATTCTTACATCACAAATGTCAATTCAGTTTTGTGTCTGACAAAATTAATAATAATGATAATTTTATAATAAAGTGCTTATTTAATGTAAATAAGTGCAATTTTTTGCGTTATTTATTTTCTGTTTTTACATATTTTTATTTAATCTTGGAAAACATGGAAACTAATGTGAGAAAATTTCGTTTTCCTTGTTAAATTTGACACTTGTGACGTCGTGTGTAATTGGATCATTTCTCTGTTGCCACCAATTGTACTTGATAATCTATTTGGATATAAAGAGAAAGAGGATAAAAATGGAAAGGGGATATAAGGAGAAAGGGGATATAAAGAGAAAGGGGAAATAAAGAGAAAGGGGATATAAAGAGAAAGGGGATATAAAAAGGGGAAATAAGGAGAAAGGGGATATAAAGAGAAAGGGGATAAAAATAGAAAGGGGATATAAGGAGAAAGGGGATATAAAGAGAAAGGGGAAATAAAGAGAAAGGGGATATAAAGAGAAAGGGGATATAAAGAGAAAGGGGAAATAAGGAGAAAGGGGATATAAAGAGAAAGGGGATAAAAATAGAAAGGGGATATAAAGAGAAGGGGGATATTAAGAGAAAGGGGATAAAAAGAGAATGGGGATATAAAGAGAAAGGGGAAAAAGAGAAGGGGAATATAAAGAGAAAGAATATAAATAGAAAGGGATTATAAAGTAGAAGAATAAGAAAATGTACGCAACCTGACTCTGAGGTTATGAAGAACAGCAGGTTCATGAAGATATGATAAAGATGTAAGATCATTCTCTCCGATCAGAATATCAGGATTCCTATATTATCAAATATAAATGCATCTATTTTCAGGAATCAGAAAAGAAACATTCAGAATTTTCCAAAAACTTCTACAAAAATAAAATATTTTCCATAGAAAGAAATGGTTTGTCAAAGTCCCTTGTTTTAAATAAAAAATAAGAAAAGATAATAGAACCACAATTGAGAAAAAAAAAGCATTCTAATATCTGTTTCCGGATCCGGATCCGAATCAGCAACATTTGTGCTCCCTGGATTCTGATCCGAATCCGCAAAAATATGCAAAACATGATCCAAAATGCAAAATATTAACCAGAACAAAATTTTACTCTCAAAATGCAAATCCAAAGAATGATCTATAAATAAGGGAATTATTAAAATATTCCTAATCTCTGAATGGTAAATCAAGTTATCATAAAAACTAGCAAAAAAAATTGAAGAAATCTTTATGATCTGGATTCAGAGAGGATTCAGGATCCGTTTTCACATAACGCTGGAATAGATCATAAAATATGCTTGACGTTTTATCTGTTAATCTGTTAAAACTTAGATCTACACTTTCCCACTATTTTTAATATGGATTAAACCTTGAGGTTACCAATTTTTGGAGGGTTTCCGCTTAGTAACTTTTATGAAATGAAATTAACCTGGCAAAAACACATTAAAAAATACCTTAGCTTCGTAACGGCAGGGCGCGAATTTTTTTATTTATTTTGTGTGAATCAGAAAAAGTTGTGGAGTTGTGAAGCTCATTAACTTTCTCTTGGCTACTTTTAGTCTTTCAAAATGCAGAAAAAGGAAACGATTTTAATTGAGAAATCCCAACACCTTGAGCTTTTGCTGGTAGTTATTTCAATTGAATTATTATCTTCACGAAAAATATGAACAAGTCATTTACCACGGTTTTGGGACACCCAGTATTTACCTAAGAGGCGGGAGTTCTGTATCATTCTTTATCTGGAGTTCTTGGGATTCCCCGCACTCAGTTTCCAGGTGGAGTACACCCCCTTCATAGTCCTGAATATTTTACAGTAAATATAGTTTTAAGGTAGCGTACACCCCCTTCATAGTCCTGAATATTTATCAGTACACATAGTTTCCAGGTGGAGTACACCCACTTCATTGTACTGAATATTTTACAGTACAACTAGTTTCAAGGTGGCGTACACCCCCTTCATAATCCTTAAAATTTACATTATAACTCGTTTCAAGGTGGCGTACACCCCCTTCATAATCCTGAATATTTTCCATTACACTGTACAGATAGCTGAAAAAAAAACATTTCACTGTACCATACATATCGTCTGCCGTACATGATGTCCGTGTACAATAACTCAGTCCATTGCACTTATCATGAATTGCACAGACAGTACTGCATACACTTGGTCGTGAACACTTTGTACTGCTCACGTCATGAGCGGTAAATATACTAGGTGTATATTTCAGATTTAATTGGAAATTAAATCCATCATATTTGTGGAATCTCAGATTTGAGATTAACAATTTTTAGAAAGTTTTTCCTTTAAGGGACTGTAGGCGTAATTTCAAGAGACTTTCCATTTATAGAGTGGCATTTCCGATTAACTCTTTAATAAGGATGAATGAGATTGCATTATTCTTCCTGCTTAACATGAATTAATTTCATTGGAGGCTTCGCTTTAAACAGTGATTCGTGGTGCAGCGACAATTAAGGAACTTGTTTAAATTTAAAACGTTGTAAGATAAAAAACGACGAAATCTTCCACAAATAACGTCCCCCAGTCCCTTTATTAAGATCAGACTAAGATGATCCTCAAGATAAAATTAGTAATCTTTTAGAGGATGTTACCTGTAAGAGGAACGCTCCTTTCCAAACAGTTTCTGGATCTTTCACCCAAACTCTAGCTCCCTAAATATACAAATATATTTCACAAAAACTCTAGCTCCATAAATATTCAAATATATTTCACCCAAACTCTAGCTCCCTAAATATACAAATATATTCCAAACTCTAGCTCCCAAAATATCCAAATATATTCCAAACTCTAACTCCCTAAATATCCAAATATATTCCCAACTCTAGCTCCCAAAATATCCAAATATATTTCAAACTCTAGCTCCCTAAATATCCAAATATATTCCAAACTCTAGCTCCCTACATATATACAAAAATTTCTCATTCTAACTCTAGCTCCCTAAATATACAAATATATTCCAAACTCTAGCTCCCAAAATATCCAAATATATTCCAAACTAACTCCCTAAATATCCAAATATATTCCTAACTGTAACTCCCTAAATATCCAAATATATTCCTAACTCTAGCTCCCTAAATATCCAAATATATTCCAAACTCTAGCTCCCAAAATATCCAAATATATTCCAAACTCTAACTCCCTAAATATCCAAATATATTCCTAACTCTAACTCCATAAACATCCAAATATATTCCTAACTCTAACTCCCTAAATATCGAAATATATTCCAAACTCTAGCTCCCTAAATATCCAAATATTTTCCAAACTCTAGCTCCCTACATATATACAAAAATATCTCACATAAACTCTAGCTCCCTAAACATACAAATATCTTTCACCTGATAAAAGTAGATATTAATATAAAGGAAAGGGTTTGCTTAAAACCATGACGTACAAGATAAAGTAAAGGGTTTGCTTAAAACACCATGACGTACAAGGACAGCTTAGAAACTAGTTTTATTGTAAACTATAACATCGATTATAAACAAGGCCTTGGCAATAAATGTTCAATAAATATTGTGTTTTTACAATGAACCAAGTTCTAAAGCTGCCCTAACACTTCAAGGTAGAAAGTGAACAAATCTTTTCCCTATCCATTCATGAATAAAGATTTTACTATTTACTGTATAGTTGAACTATAAACAGAACATGGGAATCCTTGAAATCAAAAACGTAATTTTCAAGCTAAGAAAAAATCTACCAGGAAAATATTATATGATTTGATACCTAACATGACTCATTTTCATTGATTTAATATTTCGTCCTTTTCAGAGTTCATTATCTTATATACGTGTCTATATCAGCGCATCACATATTTGGTAGCAAAAAATATGAAAACATGTCTCATTAATTTACAACAATTGAGTTAGAGTTAAAAATGGTATTTTCCCTTATTACCCGAGTAAATGGAGGTGAATGACCTTCGATATCAAAATTTCTTCGTAAACTTTGAAGATGACCACAATTAGAGGCTATATGCAAAATTTCAGCCTTTTATCTCAATTTTTAAAACCAAGCGTAGCATGTATACAATTTTGTGTCACAAAGTGTCGAATTGCACTTCCCCCCTCCCCTCCCCTTAAGATGCAGGACTCATTTTGGAAGTTTCAAAATATGTTGCATAACAATAGTCCAGGTTCTTTATAAGCAAAGAGAGTTAAGAAACCGCCAAGTTAGTTTTATCGTTCTGCTTCGTGGTAAATAGATTACCTAAGTATAATGTTTATAAATATCTAAGAGAAAAGATTAATAATATCCCTGTAATTTGGTGAGAACAGGGGAGTTTATACCTTCAAAATTTCCAAGTTTAAACAACTATTTTTGAAAATTCTATAATTTTAAATGGTAAATTTTTTTATAGGACTCGGAGTAAAGACGTGTTCCTGAAACGTGTATCGTTTATGGTACTCGGAGAGAGAAACAACCCGACACACTCCAGGTTCAAGGTTCTCAGGATCCGGCCGGATATCCGGAAACCTCCGGGACCTAGTCGAGGACAAGGAGGAGACACTCCGGGGAAACCTGGGCGACCTCGGAGGCAGACTCCTTGGGTTGAGGACGGAGCAGCTGTTCCTCCGTTCAGAACTTCCAAACGGAGGACGCTTCGTCTCTCCTTTTTTCCCTTCTCAGGGGAAACAAATATGTTTGAAATATTTCTCACGAGAAAACAGAATTTAAATATAAAAAGTCTTCCTTGTCAATAAAATTATTGCATTTATGGAAACAAAATAACTCTAAAAAAATTCTCTGGACATGAACAGTTAACCCCTTGATTAATTGATGGCTGAATGAAATATTAACTTGCAACATTTTTCTTGCAACTTTAATAATTGCCTTTGTTCACCTACAGTGATAACCAGAAAACTCTGGAATAGGAAGTCGACTTTTAAATTAGGTTGTGAGTTTAAATAGTCAAATGAACATGAAACAAATTAATTGTGCAGTGTAAACAGACCCAATTCACTCAATAAATGAATTTTAAAAACTCACTAACAAAGTTTTTTGATTTGCAACAACGTTAAATGCACGTCAGTATTGCTTCAATGTCGTCTTCCTATTCTAAAGTTTGCTGGTTCTCTCTGAATTTTATTGTTGAAATAAGATCAGATTCGGAAGATATCTTGTTTATTTGTTTTCCTCTATTCATGAATATAAATGATATGTGTATGAGGCCTGGTGTTAAAGACTGAGTATATAAAAGAAATGTATCTGTTTGTAACACTTGCCATGTAACATTATATCTTTAAGAAGATTATAAATTTACTTTTTACTTTTACTAAATAAATTAAAAATTCAATTTGTTAAATAGATTTCATTGTAATTAAATGATCCGCAAGTCATTTTTACGGGGAAACCACCATAGAAAAAAGGATTTAAGTTCTTAGTTACCACAAACTAAAAATGTCTAATCCCTCTATTTTTGCAACCTGTTTGGTAAATCCTTAATATTTCAAACTTAAATCATCTGTTCTTTCAGAAATCATTATTAAAATATCAAAGATCTGGGATAAGAAAGTTCGTGGCAGACTCATTACTATTTATATTTTTTTAAATAACAAATTTTTGAGGTTTTTAAGGGTTACATTGTGAATTGTACAAACAACTGGACAACTGGCAAAATGAAGGGTCACTTGACATACAAAATGGAAAAAATCTCAAATCTTATTACTCGTGCTATGCTATGGGAATCCACTTAAAAATAAAAATATCAGTTCTTTTTTAATATTTTAATATTATATTTATTTGTGAGAACTCACCGATAGCTTCCATGATAGGTGAGCTGGCCAACACCCTTCGCTCAACCTAAAATATTCAATCATTAATAATTGATTAAAAAAGTTTTAATTTTCTTATTTTGCCGTTAATACAACATGTATCTTTAAATTTAAACAGGGCAGCAAACAATTAACGTTTATAGGTCTTTAGATTTTTTATTTTAAACCCTTTGATTGGTATTTCGGCAGAATATTTAGCTTAACTGTCGGTGTTTGAGTATTTCCTATACACCCATACCTGTGTTTCAGTATTTCTTGTACCCTAATTATACCTGTGTTCAGTATCCACTGTACCCTAACGATACCTGTGTTTCAGAGTTTCAGTATTTACTGTACCCCAACTATACCTGTGTTCACTGTTTAGTATCCCCTGTGCCCCAACTATACCCGTGTTCAGATTTTTCCTGTACCCCAACTATACCTGTGTTCAGAATTTCCTGTACCCCAACTATATCTGTGTTCAGTATTTCCTGTACCCAACTATACCCGTGTTCAGTATTTCCTGTACCCCAACTATACCTGTGTTCAGTATTTCCTATAACCCAACTATACCTGTGTTCAGTATTTCCTGTACCCCAACTATACCCGTGTTCAGTATTTCCTGTACCCCAACTATACCTGTGTTTAGTATCCCTTGTACCCCAACTATACCTGTGTTCAGTATTTCCTGTACCCCAACTATACCTGTGTTTCAGTATCTCCTGTACCCCAACTATACCTGTGTTTCAGTATCCTACCCCAACTATACCTGTGTTCAGTATTTCCTGTACCCCAACTATACCTGTGTTTCAGTATCTCCTGTACCCCAACTATACCTGTGTTTCAGTATCCCCTGTACCCCAACTATGCCTGTGTTTCAGTATTTCCTGTACCCCAACTATACCTGTGTTTCAGTATCTCCCGTACCCCAACTATACCTGTGTTTCAGTATCTCCTGTACCCCAACTGTACCTGCGTTTCAGTATTTCCTGTACCCCAACTATATCTGTGTTTCAGTATTTCCTGTACCCCAACTATACCTGTGTTTCAGTATCTCCCGTACCCAAACTATACCTGTGTTTCAGTATCTCCTGTACCCCAACTATACCTGTGTTTCAGTATCTCCTGTACCCCAACTATCCCTGTGTTTCAGTATCTCCTGTACCCCAACTATACCTGTGTTTCAGTATCTCCTGTACCCCAACTATACCTGATAGGGATCAAATCAAATCAAATTATTAGGACCAATGAACATTTAAAATTACCAATAATTATATTTAAATCAAGAATCAATTAATATTCTTATTCCAATTCGATGTATTTGTAAAGTGAATTACACCGCGATACCCCACAAAAAATAACCCAGTTCCACTAGAGAGAAAAAAAACCTGTGGAAAACAGTTACACAATCCTTGGATAAAAATTAAGCTCGTTTTTACCTATTTGGTTTTCTTTTGGTTGTTATCGACCATTAAAATATTTTTCAAATGTTCCAGATTTAATGTTTTAAGTGTTTTATTATTTCTTACCCGAGACGATGATTGATTGATTTTTACTATCTCTCTCCATAAGCTTAAATGCTTCCTCACTAAAAAAAGAAAATAAAGATTTATTCTTGCATAAAATATTGAAAAGTTGTACATTTTACACAATCAGAAAATATATTTTCTAAAAAAATCTCTTAGCACAATCAAGGTGATTTGATACTTTTGTTTTTTTGCTGGATATTTCCAATATATGTTTGATTAAAATTTGTGTGCATAATCATTTACGTCTTAAATTATGATAAAGACGATATTAATTACTAAAAAAATAAAGTTCGACCTGACGGCGTATATGTGGGGGTCCAAATCTCCCATATTCTGACCTCTGTACGCAAATATGGTGTCATTGTCATAAATATGTAGTTCCTGGTATACAAACAAACCAATATTTAACGCCTATTGTTTTTTTCCAAAAAAATCCTCAACAAAGATTAATTCTTCTTTTTATTGGTCAATTGTAGTTTCTCTGTGTATTTGATTTTGTATGTATGCATCAGAGACAACTAGAAAAATTGACAGAATTCAATCCTTAACAAGAAAAAAATCTTTAATATTAATTCTGAAAAAAATGATGAAGGTTTCGAAATGAGGCATGTAACTCTTTTTGGGGTAAGGATAAAAAAGAGAAAAGGTTTGGACAAAAAAAACAAGAGGAAAGGGTTAGGACAGGAACATAAAGAAGGGTTAGGCCAGGAACATGAAGAGAACATGGTTAGGACAATAACGTAAAGGAATCATGGCTTAGGACAGGAACATAAAGAGAAAGGGTTAGGGCAGAAAAATAAAGAGAATGGGTTAAGACAGGAAAATAAGGAGAAAGGGATAGGACAGGAAATAAAGAAAAAATGGTTAGGACAGGAAAATAAAGAGAAACGGTTAGGACAGGAAAATAAAGAGGACAAGGTTAGGAAAAAAATAAAGACGAAGGGTTAGGACAAGAACATACAGAGGAAGGGTTAGGCCAGGTACATAAAAAGGAGAAGGGTTAGGACAGGAAAATAAAAGAAAGAGATAGGACAAGAACATAAGAGGAAAGGTTAGGACAGAAACATACATCGAGGAAGGATTAGGACAGGAACATAAAAAGGAGAAGGGGGATATAAAGAGAAGGGGGATATAAAGAGAAGGGGGATATAAAGAGAAAGGGGATATAAAGAGAAAGGGGATATAAAGAGAAAGGGGATAAAAACAAAAAGGAGATATAAAGAGAAGGGGGATATAAAGAGAAAGGGGATATAAACAGAAAGGGGATATAAAGAGAAAGGGGATATAAAGAGAAAGGGGATATAAAGAGAAAGGGGATATAAAGAGAAACGGGATGTAAAGAGAAAGGGGAATATAAAGAGAAAGGGGATATAAATAGAAAGGGGATATAAATAGAAAGGGGATATAAAGAGAAAGGGGATATAAAGAGAAGGGGGATAAAAAGAGAGAGTATAAAAAGAGAAGGGGGATATAAAGAGAGAGAGAATATAAAGAGAAGGGGGATATAAAGAGACAGGGGATATAAAGAGAAAGGGGATATAAAGAGAAGGGGAATATGTAGAGAAAGTGGATATAAAGGGAAAGGGGATATAAAGAGAAAGGGAATATAAAGCGAAAGGGGATATAAAGAGAAGGGATATAAAGAGAAGGGGAATATGTAGAGAAAGTGGATATAAAGGGAAAGGGGATATAAAGAGAAGGGGAATATGTAGAGAAAGTGGATATAAAGAGAAGGGGAATATGAAGAGAAAGGGGATATAAAGGGAAAGGGGATATAAAGAGAAAGGGGATATAAAGCGAAAGTGGATATAAATAGAAAGAGGCAATAAAGAAAAAGGGGATGTAACGAGAAAGAAGATATAAAGAGAAGGGAGATAAAAGAGAGTATAAAAAGAGAAGGGGGATATAAAGAGAAAGGGGATATAAAGAGAAAGACGATAAAAAGAGAAGGGGGATATAAAGAGAAACGGGATGTAAAGAGAAGGGGGATAAAAGAGAGAATATAAAGAGAAAGGGATAAATGAAGTAGAAGAATAAGAAAAGTTATGCAACCTGACTCTGAGGTTATGAAGAACAGCAGGTTCATGAAGATATGATAAAGATGTAAGATCATTCTCTCCGATCAGAATATCAGGATTCCTATATTACCAAATATAAATTCATCTATTTTCAGGAATCAGTAAAGAAACATTCAGAAATTTCCAAAAACTTCTCAAAAAAAATATTTTCCATAGAAAGAAACGGTTTGTAAAAGTCCCTTGTACCCAAAAAAATAAGAAAAGATAATAAAATTAAACATTCTAATATCTGTTTCCAGATCCGGATCCGGATCAGAAACAATTGTGCTCACTAGATCCGGATCTGGATCAGCTTCATTTGTGCTCCCTAGATCCAGATCCGGATCAGCAACATTTGTGCTCCCTAGATCCGGATCTGGATCAGCTACATTTGTGTTCCCTAGATCCAGATCCGGATCAGCCACTAGATCCGGATCTGGATCAGCTTCATTTGTGCTCCCTAGATCCAGATCCGGATCAGCAACATTTGTGCTCCCTAGATCCGGATCTGGATCAGCTACATTTGTGTTCCCTAGATCCAGATCCGGATCAGCAACATTTGTGCTCCCTAGATCCAGATCCGGATCAGAAACATTTGTGCTCACTAGATCCGGATCCGGATCAGAAACATTTGTGCTCCCTAGATCCAGATCCGGATCAGCAACATTTGTGCTCCCTAGATCCAGATCCGGATCAGAAACATTTGTGCTCACCAGATCCGGATCCGGATCAGAAACATTTGTGCTCCCTAGATCCAGATCCGGATCAGCAACATTTGTGCTCCCTGGATCCGGATCCGGTACAGCAACATTTGTGCTCCCTGGATTCAGATCCGAATCCGCAAAAATATGCAAAACATGATCCAAAATGC